AATTTATATTAAATTTTAATCGACTTAAATTTTAATATATTATATACATTTTAATTGACTCTAATTTTAATGAATCGAATTTTAATTGACACGAATTTTAAAAAGTAAAAAAATATAAATTTTAATCGACTCGAAAGCGAAATGTAATCAATGCTAACAACTCGGGTAGAACTCAAATCAGCTCGAATTTGAATACGTAAAAAAAAAAATTTTAATAGGCTCGAATTTTAATAAGTAAAAATATAAAATTTAATTAGCATGAATTGAATTTTAATTGACACAAATTTTAATATATAGAAAAATAAATTATAGTTAACTCAAATTTTAATATGTAAAAAATAAATTTTAATCAGTTTGAATTTTTAGAAAATTTTATGTAAAAAAATTGTTTTGGCTTTATGTAGGGGGTATTTTTGGTATTTTTTGAATTTTAATAAGTAAAAAAATTGTTAAAAATGGTGGGTTAATGGCGGGGGTGGTCAGTAATATTTAAATATAAACTAAAATGAATAATAGTGATTTTTTGATAGTAGAGGTGGTGCTCTCGAAGATATAATAAACTAGAAGAAGTGTGTCTAAAATTTTTTCAAAATTATAATATAATTAATTAACATAAAAATATTTGTCGTTTGAAATCTAACAACACTAAATTTATAATCTCTTATGAGTTATTATTTATTTATACATTCTTTTATAAAACAACAAAAAACGTGATTTTAAATGTCTAAATGATGGAATCTAACCCAAAAGTGAAGGAACTTTAAAAGAACTGTAGTCTATCCGATCAAAGTAATCTACTGCCAATTGTTTTACATCAAGTTTGCTTCATTTCTCTTAGATTATAATATAATAGCAATAACTCGTGTTTAAAATTCAGGACGGCAAAAAAATCAATCCCACTACGTCAAATAGCATTTTTGTCATTTTCTTTCTTTAGTTACATAATTTGAATAATTTCTACCCAATTTTCTTTAATTATATAATTTAAAATAAAAATTAAAAAAAATTCTCAAAATAAATAAAAATTATATTGAAGCACAAATTAATCAAAAATTAAATAATTTAAGTTGTGATAAAAAAAAATATGTTGAGATAAAATCAAATAAAATTCAAACTCCTAACTTCCTTATTATTTATATAATAAAATAGCTTACAATTCAAATCTTAAAAGATAAACAAAATGACTTTTCTATTTGCGGGTGAGATCTCTTTAAATTTTACTGTAAAGTTAATCTAACAGCTAATATTAACAATCTAAATTTAATAAGAAAAATAGGTACCTAAGGGTGTGTTTGGAGTGACTTTTTAAAAGTATTTTTAAAATTATTTATCATAAATACTTTAAAAAAAATAGTGTTCGAAACCTCCCTACCACTACCTCTACAACCACCACCACTGCCGCCGCCGCCACCACCACCATCGTTGTTGCCGGTACCACCACCACCGCCGCTTCCTCCCCCCTCGTCCCCAACACCGCCACCACGATCATTGCTACTCACCACAACCATCACCGTCTCTTATCATCACCACTGTCGCCCACCACCTCTCACCCCCACTATAAATCGATACTTAAATTTCTTTATCTATTCTTTATGTTTGTGATTTAATTTTGGATATAAATACAAATATATTTATTATTTATCATTTTTTATTATTTTGTACTTTCAGGCACAAGCAATAACTAATATATATAATAAAATATCTTACAATTCAAATTCCAAAATATAAACAAAATGATTTTTACTATTCGCGGTTGAGATCACTTTAAATTTTATTTTAAAGTTAATTTAACGGCTAATATTAACACCCTAAATTTAATAAGAAAAATAGGGTCCTAAGAGTGTATTTGGAGTGATTTTTTAAAAATAGTTCTACAAATTATTTCTCATAAATACTTTAAAAAAAATAATGTTTGAAATCGGCCCACTACCACCACTACCTTTACCACCTCCACCATTGATGTCGCCGCCACCACCACTACCTCTACCACCATCACCACCACCGTTGTTGTCGCTGCTGCCACCACCATCATCATCACAACCACCACCATCGCCCCCACCCCAATCACCACCTCCCCGACCACCACTGTCGCCCACCACTTCTCACCCCTACTACAAATTAATGCTTAAATTTATTTATCTCTTGTCTATATTTGTGATTTGATTTTGAATATGAATACAAATATGTTTATTGTTTATCATTTTTTATTATTCTGTGCCTTCAGGCACAGACAATAACTAATATATAGATATTGTAGTTGACATAAACATGTGAAAAATTATATTATTTATGCCTATATGTACAATACTTTAGTTAAATAGTAATCAAATATGGTTTGCCTATTTAATAAAAAAAAAAATTTCTTAAAAACTTATCTAACTATTGATGATGCACAAAAATGACTTTGCACACCCCCTGTCAAGTGTAAATAATAAATGCAGTAAAAGTAAAGAGAAAATTGGAGGAGACAAGATTTATAGTGGTTCGGTCAACTCAACCTACGTCCACTCTTGAATGACTCTCGTTGTCGGGTACTTTATTAATTTAAGGGTGTGAAGAGCAGAGAATACAAGCTTTGAGGGAGAGAAGAAAGTCAGGGAAGGTGTGATGCCTAGGCAATCAGTGTCCTCCCAAGTGTTGATGGAGCGTGCAATTTATAGTGGCCCCCTAACAGGTTGGGGCTACTTTTCAGCGACTAAGTAACCATTTCGATGGAGCTCCCGATCTCTTCTCAACGAGCGAGGTGGTTGAGGAGCTCTCCATGAGATACGGTCAAAGATATGATAAGGGTGGACAGTTTTCTTCGATGGTGCAGGTAAGGCTTCCCATGCTCTCCCCCCTTGATGACGTGGCTAAACAAATAGTCTAACTTGGTCTTGAACTATGTTGGGCTTGGTGGATCTTTAAATGAGGTTGGACTTCTCAATTGAGATTTGGATTTTGCACATAGATTGGGTCATTTTGGGCTTCACCCATCAACTATAACATTACCAAGCAGTAATTCGTTGAAACTCACTTATGTTCCATTTGGTTGAAAGGATAAAAAGTAGAAGGAATACACTTTTTATCTTTTAAAGATGAAAAATAGGAAATATACATTTTCTGTCTTTTTTGTTTGGTTGGATAGATGGAAAATAAAAATGACAATTTTTTTTTTTTACTGGCTAAGATTAGGGATGACAATAGAGTCGAGTCGTGTTGAATCAGATTCGTGTTGAGTCATTATGAGTTTGTGTCGAATATTAGTCAAGTCTAACTTAACTCATTTAACTAATTGTGTCGTGTCGAGTTGCGAGTTGACTTATTTATTTTCGTATCGAGTTCGAGTCGTGTCATCGTATTAAGTCGAAAATTTTTACCCTTAGTTAAAAAGAAAAAATATTTTTTTTTATTTTTTTAAAAATTAATTAAAAAAATATATATACGTATTTTACCATTGTATTTTTATATGAAATTAATGTATACATAAGATATATAGACAAATAAGATACATCTCAACACAAATAATTAACTTTCTATCCATTTTCCTTCCGATTTTGGAGGAATTGATTTTAGTGAGTTGGAGGAAAGTTAATCCATCCACTTTTCCATCCTTCCTACTTTCCTTCCTTACCAAACATGATATTTTATTTATCGATCAAATTTTTTATCCTCTCACTTTTCTATCGTACCAAAACGGGAGCATTAGCGATTCAAAGAAATAAGAAAGATAAAAAAAAAAAAGGCAAAGCCCAAACCAACATATTAAAAAATGTTCCAGGTCTCATCCCTACCTTACACGTTGACCTCATTATATAATAATACCAACTTGTTCCCTAAACTACTAAAACCCCAATTATTTTTCCCATTCTTAATTATTGTTATTCCCCCCCGGGTGGGCTACCAATTCATTCCCAGCATCAATGATTCATTTTGATTTTCTATTACGTGGGTGGGCACAATTGGTAACTTGGTCTATTTTTTTTTCAAAGGCTTTTTCTAACTACTATCTTTCCGACTCATGAAAATTTAACACAAATTTTAAACACGCACCATCACTCACTCGTAAACCAAATATATTGGTTAAATTTGGATTTGATGCAACTATTAAAACTCTAATTTTGGGGGTATGTGAATTTAAGACTCACCTCTTATCCCACCAATGAACTAACCCATGTGGGTTTCTATAGTACAGTTTTTAGGGAAAGAAAAAAAAAAAGAAAAACCATGGCTAATATGCCTCCTCCTTATTAACAGTGAAAAGAATTTCCATTAAAAAAAGAATTGTGAATAAAATGCTGTGATGGTACTATTTTTCAACCGGCTACAAAAATGAATGATGTGGTAGTACCACTTTTATAAATATGATAACAAATGGTATTTTATTCTAGAATAAGAGTATCATTGGAATTGGCACTTTGTTTAAAAAATTCCATCTGAAATTTCTATTGTAACTAAACTATATATATACATTCTAAACTCAATTTCAGGTTGAGTTTAATGAATGTAAAAATTGGAGATATAGTTGATAAAGTAGTAACAGCAGGAAAAAGCAATGTGTTGTACTAGCATATGATGAGTATATACATATATATATATCTGTACTATATTATTATTATTATTATTATTATGACTAAGAAAAAATTAACCAGAGAGAGAGAATTATCATTCAAAATAGAAGATAACTCAACTACTCTTCAGAAGGCACAGCACGACTGAGCACAAACGTTGAATTTGTGTGCAGATATCGGTTGGGAGGTGTTTCTTTTAACTACATTTTGAGCTAGCTACCTGGGAGTGGGACGAACCGTGTGAACCAAGCCACCCTCTTCCCATCTCCTCTGCATTCTCCTCTTCTTCTACCCCTTACCCTTTCAGAATTGTTTGTTTGTGTCAGAGAGAGACAGAAACATAAAATCAACACTCATACAAAAATTACATAGAAAAAAAGAAAAGATTCTCAGAGTGAGAGAAAACAATACAATTCACCTGGAATTGGAAGGGAAGATCGAAGATTAGTCATGGCAACGGCGTCGTTTGCAAGCGCCAATGCCTCGAAAAGACCGAGTCATGGCAACAGCCTTACATCGTTCGACTTGCCGGATAATTGCACAGACAGCGGCGTCGGAGCAATGCTGCCCATTTTTCTCAACGATCTCAGAAGAAACTACGACGACCAAGATTTAGTCGAAGTCGTGTTGGAGCTCGAAGACGACTCCATTGTGGTCTGTAGCGTAACTGCACCCACCTCAAACAATGCGAACCTTGACGAAAATGGAGCGCCGACACCGACAGAGGGTTTTTTGTCCAGGAGTCTATCTGCGACGACAAGAATTCGCCGGAAGTTTCCGTGGCTGAGATCATCGTCGTCGAGAACGTCGTCGGATGTCGATGATCCGACGATATCGGCACGTGAGGCTATGAAAATGAAAGCGAAACTAGTACGGACGAAATCGAGTGCTCAACGAGCTCTGGGAGGTCTCAGGTTCATAAACAAAACTACCGGAACCTCAGAAGCAAATGATCTTTGGAAAAAAGTGGAGTCGAGGTTTGAAGCCCTCGCCAATGACGGTTTGCTCGCAAGAGAAGACTTCGGTGAATGCATCGGTAAACATAATCAGTGCTAATTATCGGCCTCTGATTGATCATCATCTTTTCCTTCTATATATGGCAGATCAGAATCAGATACATATAATAATTGAATTTAAATGAATAATTTTATTATGTTTTTGTAATTAATTCTCATATAATTTGTATTTATATGTATACATAGGGATGGCTGATTCGAAGGAGTTCGCTGTGGGGGTGTTTGATGCACTGGCGAGAAGGAGACGTCAGAAGACAGGGAAGATAACGAAAGCAGAGCTTTATGACTTTTGGTTGCAGATTTCGGACCAGAGTTTTGACGCTCGTCTTCAGATTTTCTTTGACATGTGGGTCTCTCTCTCTCTCTCTCTCAAACGCTTTTCTGGCTCCCTTCAATTCACCGTTTATTTGTTAGTAAGTAACTTTGTATTGAAAAATCAACGGTGACCAAGGCCTGAATTAGAATGGCATATATTCTTGTATTGATCATTATTTTTAGTTTAGTTTTGATTGGTTCCATTGGGATTAAGCTATGGCCTAGAGTAAAGCTGGATTTTTGGGTGGAAACAGAGAGGTGGTCTTGATAACTTGATAGATAGTCCAGTCCAGATGATAGAAAATCGATTTCCATTTTAATTGAGAGTGAATTCTATGGAAAATCAAAAACTTAACTGAAATTGGAAATTGAGATTGAATGATAGACCATTTTCCTTGCAAAATATAATACTGTTTTTTGTTTAATTTCAGGGCAGATATCAACGAAGATGGAAGAATCACAAGAGATGAAGTGCAGGAGGTAAGTATAATGTTGGTTAACCTGTCAAATTGAAAAGTATAATTTAGGTCAAACAATATTCGTTCTAATCTAACATCTAACATGCACCGTTTAAGTAGATAACTGAGATTTATTGAATACAAAACCATGTCCTCCTTTTGGTTGTCTTCCCAAATAAAAAGAATTATCATGTGTTTGGTGGTATTCTATGGAGTACGGATATTTCGTTAAAGTTGATGTACCCATATTAGATATTGTATCAGATACGATACTTAAAATACGTATTGAATACACATCAAATGTATTCAATAATAAATAAAATATATGGATATTTTACAGAGAAGTATATGTAATTTCCAGTTTTAATTTTTACTCATTCTTTTTGATGTTACATACAACACAATTGATTAAAAAAAAATCATCTAACTTGGGAAGAGAGTTGTTTTCTAAGGATTATCCATTATCACATGTTCAAAGAGTTTAAATGAGTTGATTATTCTATAATTTTAGCAACAAATGCTTCTAAGCAAATAATATAGTTAAATTTTGGTTCTTAATCTTTTAATTACTCACATTCACTTTATAAATGTACTGTAATGAGTCGATAGCTGACTTTTTGAAAATTAAAAATTATTAATGTTGTTTATTATTGTTAAAGAATTACTAAAAATTATAGATACCAAGTTATTACACAATAGTAAAAATATATAAAATATAAATAAATACATATCTCGGTTGTACCATATCCTATTTGTTAAGATGTTATCGTATAGCCGTATCCATATAATATTGCACCCGTATTTCGTATTCATATTCACGTTTCCTAGGTGGTATTTGTTTTGGTGTCCTTTTGTTGCTTCGTCAGTCATGGTTAATAATAACGTTAGGCTATCAATGTTTTTTTAGTTTAGTGGAACAAGAGCATGCGGACAGGTTATGTTCAAGATCAATAATTGCATAAAAATTAGGCCAAGAGTGGTTTTCAAATGGATTGTTTGTTTATTGTATTGTATTGTATTGTTTTGTCAACCTGATTTTGTTTAATTAAATTACAGCTAATAATGCTGAGTGCTTCTGCGAATAAGCTGTCCAAACTGAAAGAACAGGCAGAGGAATACGCTTCACTGATAATGGAAGAGCTAGACTCTGAAAATCTTGGTTACATTGAGGTAAAACTGACACCCTTTGAAAATTCTGCATCTTTTGCCACTTAACACTTTTAACAATAAAAAATTTAAATAAGTAACTTAACACTTTACGGTTTAAATTTTTTTATTGAAAACTTATTATGCAAATATGTCTTCAATAGAAAAGTATTTAAACCACATTTTCACTTAAAAGACGGTAAATTTGAAAATAAGTGAACAGCCACGATAAATATTGAATAAAATCGAAAAAAAAAACAGCAATATGATAATTGATTCTTGGAATTAACAATCAAGGTTACTACAGTTGCCTATCCAAATTTTTGAACACAAGGAATCTAGACTGCCTAGAAAAGTATTAGATAGTATGTTCTGTGAATGTTTATGATCATGTTTGAATGAATTCAAGAATGTTTAAAGATATACCACATGGTGACGAGTCAATGTGTACAGAACTACTAAAACCCATTGGACCAAATGCGTGGTTTAGCATCCCATGTGCCTAATATATATATACAAAAAAAAAGTTCAACCTTTTGGCTGCTGATTTGCAAATAAATTGTCCTTGATCTTGTGTACGAGATCTGAAAATTGTATAGATGTTTAATTGTGCTGCATTTTCCCAATGATTTGGGCAAAAAATTGTGTCTGAATAAGACATTCATGGTTGAAAATCCCATTATTGCCGTCTATACAGTTATGGCAATTGGAAACTCTGCTTTTACAAAGGGACACCTACATGAATTACAGCAGACCTCTCAGCACGGCAAGTGTTGGCTGGAGTCAGAACTTAAGTACATTTAGGCCCAAGAATGTGGTACGCAAGGTGAGCTGCACACTCAAGTATCTAATATTAGAGAACTGGCAAAAGGGATGGATCTTACTGCTATGGATAATGGCCATGGGTTGGCTTTTCGCATGGAAGTTTAACCAATATAGGCAAAGGGCAGCATTTCAAGTAATGGGTTATTGCCTGACAACAGCCAAAGGGGCAGCAGAGACTCTAAAGCTCAACTTTGCTCTCATCCTTCTACCTGTATGCCGAAATATGCTAACATGGCTAAGGTCTACAAGAGCAAGGCTATTCATCCCTTTTGATGACAACATTAATTTTCATAAGGTAAGGCACTTGTTCATAGTCACAAGTTTTGTTTTGAAGCTCTATGCATTAGTAAAAAAATTAAACATCTTGTTTCAAGCTGTACTATGGGCCCTCCCACACTAGCTGAATACATATAATTTACTGTGCGAGTATTGAAAGTAACTCTTCTTAGAGGACTTCCTACATTTTGTGAATCTAAGTTCTTCGCTAATGGTACAATTTCAATATGCAGTTGATAGCTTGGGCCATAGCAATCGGAATCCTACTTCACGCTGGGAACCATCTGGCCTGTGATTTTCCCCGTCTGATCAACTCAACATCGGAAAAATTTGCCCTCATTTCCTCGGATTTCAATAATGCTAGAAAGCCCACCTATAAAGACCTTTTGACTGGTGTTGAAGGCATTACTGGGATTTCTATGGTGATTCTGATGACCATCGTATTCACATTAGCAACACGAAGCTTCAGGAAAGATGGGGTGAAGCTTCCAGCACCATTCAACCGATTAACAGGCTTTAATGCATTCTGGTATTCTCATCACCTTCTTGCTGTAGTCTACGTATTGCTACTAGTGCATGGAACCTTCTTGATCTTCGTCCACAAATGGCAGGAGAAAACGGTAAGAACTTCAAATTTGTCGATTGTGGCGAATGTGGCAAAATGAATAACGACATTTGATTTATCAAACATTAACTACTTAGTATCGCTGAAAATACTTTGTTCATGTCCCAGACATGGATGTATATCTCTGTTCCCCTGTTCCTCTACATAGCAGAGCGGAGCCTACGAATATCTCGATCAGAACATTACTCAGTTAAGATCTTGAAGGTAATTAACTATGCTTATCAACCGTAAATTTCTTCTCATCTGAATCTTATGGTTGCTCTGGGAGAGGTGTAAGAGATCAAATGATCATTTCGACAGAGGAAAATTTGTAAAACAATAAAACCGAGAGATGGAGATCAAAACTTACTCAAGATTTGTATAGAATACTAAAAGCGAGGAATAACGTGTATGGTAAATCAATTCAAGGATCAACCTGACTTAAATTGTTCATGCAAATAACTCATTCTCGTTGGTTAAAGGCACGCCTATGCACAGCAATGACACCAATAATTGAAAGTCAGTTATTTACCAGAGGTTTTTTTTTTTTTTGTCCTTGCAGGCTTCAGTATTACCCGGAGACGTCTTCAGCTTAATTATGTCTAAGCCAAATGGCTTTAAATACAAAAGTGGGCAATACATATTTCTACAGTGTCCAAGTATCTCCCAATTTGAATGGTGAGAATTATTTATCAAGCATCATACCTGCATTCTCCATTTCAACAAAAAGGTTGCTCTGTGCCTTAAAAAATGGAAGGTAACCTCTTTTGATATCTCTCCAGGCATCCATTTTCAATAACTTCGGCACCTGGAGACAACTACCTCAGCGTTCACATTCGGACAGTAGGAGATTGGACGCAAGAGCTTAAGCGAGTATTTACCGAGGATAATGGTTCAACATGTGTGATTGGTCGAGCCAAGTTTGGACGAGTCAAGCATGTAGATCAAACAGGGTAATTTCATTGAAGTTACTTTTATCTGCCCTAATTTACATTCAAATTTTCCGAGGGAAAATCCAACAACTAATGTACCTTCACTGGTGCAGTTTACCCCGGCTGATTGTTGATGGACCTTATGGCGCTCCAGCACAGGACTACCGAAACTATGATGTGTTACTCCTTGTGGGGCTCGGAATAGGAGCTACTCCTTTTATAAGTATCCTGAGAGATCTATTAGACAATACAAGAACACTAGAAGACCAAATGGTACATTTCATCAAAAATCTTTCCTATTACTCGATTACAATGTGGTTTCTCTCATCCCTTTTTTTATATGGGATCAGGATTCAAACACAGAAACAAGCAGATCAGATGATAGCCAAACTAGTATTGCCTCTTCAAGTTCGTCAAATGGAAAGAAGAAACCACAAAGAAGTACGAGCGCACATTTGTATTGGGTTACCAGGGATCCTGGGTCCTTTGAATGGTTTAAAGGGGTGATGAATGAAGTAGCAGAGATTGACCAAAAAGTAACCTGAGTCCTTCATGGTTTAAATTTTACTAATGATTGCCTATTGACTGTGCTGCCCTTCTCTCTTCTTACATGTACTCTGAAACAGGGTCAAATTGAGATGCACAATTATCTTACAAGTGTGTATGAAGAAGGGGATGCAAGATCAACCCTCATAACAATGGTCCAAGCTCTCAACCATGCCAAACATGGTGTTGACATTCTATCTGGCACCAGAGTATGATCTTTCAGTACCTTTTTACATTGAACATGAGCTTTTTATTTTATATTGGTAATAGCTACCTAACTACCGTTTTCTATCAAATAGTGGTAGCCAATCATCATCAAAAGTATTAGAATATTGAAGAAAATGTCAACATCTATATATTTAATGACAGTTAAAGCACATAAGCAGCAAACATGTTCCTTACAGAGATTAACATATATATGAACTTCGTTGCAGGTGAGGACACATTTTGCAAGACCAAATTGGAAAGAAGTGTTCGCGAAAATAGCTTTAAAGCATCCATATGCGACAATAGGTAAAGGGATTCAGAAAACAGAAACCATCAATCATGCAGCAATACACCATTGCTGCAATTGGTGTCTTTATATTATACCTTCACCTGGTGTTTTATTTCCCACACTTGAGGTCCAATCCAATTTCATTAACAACCGTCTGATTATACTACTATTTGGCAGACAAAATAATATCAAATAAGTCAAAGATCTATGACTTAAGTAATAAATAGAAGCGACGAGATATTAATATTATATATATATATATATTTTTTTAGAAATTTTTTACTTTTATAAAACCCAACAAGATTGGATAAAATCTAGATGGAAATGTTGGTTTGAACACAAATGTTACAACCGGGAAACCCAACCAGATATGGGACCGGTTAGATCTTAATTTTTTTAGCTGTCTGGTTTGCTTGATATTAGAATGTAGCAATTTAGGTGTAGGACATCAGAAAGAGAGTTGTTCATACCAACTACAGCATACTTTTGACTAATGTATAAGATGCAGACATGGAAATTCACACGTACATGTGTTAGGCGTTCTTACTGTTTCACCTCAGTTACATACAGGAACATTTAATAATTTTCAAGATTTTAGAAGAAATGATAACGAGAAAAAACATTGTCAACCTGCAGGAGTGTTCTACTGTGGGATGCCAGTGTTGGCAAAGGAGCTGAAGAAGCTGTCACATGAGCTGACTCACAAGACATCCACACGTTTCGAGTTTCACAAGGAGTATTTCTGAAACAAGAGAATTGGCCCCCTAACATATCAAGCTGTTTCTTTCTATATTGTAATTAATTCTTCACATAATTCAGAGTAATACAAATAAATAAATATATATATATATATATACCCAACAAGCAGATTGTAAATGTATACCTTATGCTGGATGTAGTTGTTCGGCCTAATAAATGGAGTTCAAAGAAGAAAAAACAGCATTGAAAATTGTTATCAACTTCAACAACATATGGCTAACACCCTAACTGTGTTGGTAAACAATTGGATTTGTTTTTCTTTTTTTGATCAGTAAACAATTGGATGTTTGTTGGTACAGACCTTAGCCATGTCAATATACAAATAAGGGATGCGATGCATAAGGAATCTGACAGACACACCCCAGCAAGCGATCGATCACCTTAGGTTTTTACTTTGAGTTGACTTCATTCAATCATTAAAGCCACAGGTGGAAGAGCGAGAAAGGACGAAACTGTAAGGTGAAGAAAGCTACAGCTGCAAGGAGAATGTTCGTAATACCAGCAGAGTTTTGCATCATCAATATAATTCAACCGGCATTACCCATTACATGTCAACAACAATTTATCTCAAAGCTGCTTGTGGGTTTCTCTTTAAGCTAATTGGTAAGTTTTAACACTTCCACAAAATATTCTTCTTGTCATGAAAGACCAACTTATGCGTAGACAATAGGGCTATCAAACAGAAAAATCAAAGTGTCAATAATTGAAGCAAAAGAATAAGGCATATCAAGATTCAAGAATAAAATCTTTCAACAGGCACAATTTTTGAAGAGTAAAGAAAGAGACGATGATGCCACCAGCTAAACAACTTCATTGTACACTCTATATAAGAGAGAATAAAAACGTCAGTCAGTCTCCATGAAAATGCTTGGATTATAAATGATTCACATGCAACTTAATATGTAATAAACATCAACAAAAGGATGACAAGGACTAGGAAATCTATGAGTCCCAATATTCATTAGCTGGACACTTCCTGAATCAAAACTGTGCTACAAAAACTTTGTTGGAAGGCTGGATATCTTATAATTGACATAGGTTATTGACTATGTTTTAACAGTGTTCATGTGTGGCAATGATGTGATGGATCAGCCTGGGATCTTTAAGGCCCAAGAAACCTCAATCATCCTTCATTCTTCTCAGAAGTCTGGAAGCCCAGCGCCGGACACGTCGCTTCAGCGTGTAACCAAGAACTACACCAGCTACGAAACAAATGGCACAAAGCTTTGAGCAGGTCCACAACGATACCACTTGTCTGCAGCAAGACATATACAGTTCAATCATATGCATCTTTCAGAATACCACTTGCCTTTTACCATCTCTCATAACAAATGAAAAAAGGAAAAAGAAATACTATATATGAAAATCAATGGTAATGCAGATGGAGATGGCTTGCACAAAGAGGCTTAGGTTTGAAAAAGTGTCGCAGAAAATGCTGGAGATGGCCAAAGTCAAACACCATTGGCCACATTGGTTCGGAAATCAAAAATAAAAAGAAAGAAATAAAAAAAGTAAACTTCAAATGCTTCCAGATTCAGACAGGGAAGCCCTCGTCAGGTAGACCAGGCAAATAATAATCTTTTGCATGTTCAAGGCCTCTGAGAGACATTTAGGAGCATGCTAACAATGTAGCATGCCACCTCTTGTATAATTTTGCTCTGCACCATTCATGAAAGGCATACTCAAGAACAGCTTTATACGCGTAACATGGTCCAGCAAGACAGCTGTGTGTTCTGTTGGCTGCCTACTTAAAGAAAGAAGTCAGTGACCATTGAATTGTTTGCCTTATGCTAGCAGGCAAAATATTATAGCTTGGGGTCAGACAGAATTGGGGTGAACCTTTTAAACGTATGGAGAATTGTCTTCTACCAGATACTACAGTTTATGTAATTTGGAAGGAGTGCATGCTCTGGAGTTTATCAGAAAGAATAAATCTCTACTTTTATCCAAATCAAGTCAGCCTCCTTAAGGAACTTCTAACTCTCAGCCCAATCAAGCAGATCCAAGGCTATTTAATATCCCAAAGGAGATTGGCATTTGTTTAGATTCAGCTATGCTTATTTGTTTGAAAATGTCCTGTTTTGTAAGGAATAAGAGCTCCATAGATACAGAGTCTCTCATCTTGTGGAGAGTGGTGGGTTCAAGATATTAAATGGGAGAGTATTCCCTCATTATGCCTAGTCTGATGTTCGGTGCTATTTTTTAAGAGTAAAAATCATAAGTTTTGAATATACCTTCAATGGAACTCAACTCCAACTTCCCATCATCATCTCATCACTTCAAATTTAACATCCAAGATTCTAAATGTTTACTCCTCAAATTTCAAACAGCCTAACCAAACAACACAGGTGCACAAGGAATTCTAGTCCATAATTGTCGGCGACCCAGGAAGTCCATAGTAGGAAGGCTTATGCTAGATTTCACGCAACTACCCAGTCCTAAATTGAAGGCCAAATACAAGAAAACCTACTTGTATATACAGGTATACATATTTAATACGATAAGTAAAAAATCCACATAAACCATCAAAAGGGTAAAATTATAACGCAAGAAGCATAGGGGGGGTGGAGTGGGAAAGTACCTTGGTTGTCTAGTGAGCAAAACTCGAGATTGGTCCAAAGAGAAAGAAGACGACCCTGAGCTGCAAGATGGTTTCCCCTGAGAAGACGTGGAGATAGAGCTTAGTTTTGGGTCGTCAGACATTGCATTACGGAAAGCTTCCCGTATTTCCTCCATTCGATCAAAGGCACAAATCAAAGATACTCAGCGACCCTGCTAATGATCAAAACAATTGGGGGGCAGTGTTGTGTTGTATGCTGTGATAACCTACTGGATTCGAGATTAAGGAGGTTATAGTTCTGGGTAGCTAGGGTTGCACTACTGGGTTTTACAGGGTGTGCCCCTATACTTTTCAAAATAACTCCAAATTTTCTTATAAATATCCGTTAAATCCTATAATTTTTGTTTTATATTAATAAATTTTTATTTTTAATATTTTATTTCAATTAAATCTTAATTCCGTTATATTCTAATTTTATCCTTACATTTTACTTACAAAAACTCTTTCATTTTTTTGCTTTCTTAGAATCAATTAATAAAATATTACAAATTCTACATCAATATTAATTTAAGTTAATTCTTACCAAAATTATATTCTATTAATTTATATTGGATTTAAAATAATTAAGTTAGAGATTTATTTTAGTTATTGTATTTCAATCAATAATGAAATTAATCGATAAATATTATTTTTGGTAATTAAAAGGGAAGGATAAAATTTAAATATAATTGAATTTAAGAGTTAATTGAAATAAAAATATCAAGAATAAGACTTGATAGATTTTTGTGGAAAAAAAATAATACTTATTGGTAATTTTTTCTTCTATATTTAGTGGAATTTCTTAAAATAATGATTCATGTGAATATTACGCAATTATTGGCGAATATTATTTATGGGTACATCATGAGTGGGTATAATAACATTGTTCGTGAAAAAGAAGATTTCACTTGGACAAATTATGTGATTATTCTTGAATGCGTGTGGTACTTTACCTAAGAAGATTATAATAGTCCCCAATTGGATTATTAATTCTAATAGGTAATATGGATTCACTCTAAATTCAAATATTTTGATTTTGAATTTTCCATTTTTTTTAGAGTCAATATCCTTTATGAATATCCCACTTTCTGATGTGAATAACTTACATTTGACCAAATAAAAAAGACGATTAATCAAAATATGCATAAATTAATCTAAATATCCTCAATGTTAAAAAATAAAAAAAAAAAAAAATATGAAAAATTTTAGCCACACCCTTCTTAATTTACTATATCTTCAAAGACAACGTCTTTATTATCAAAAAGGTCACTGACACCCCCTTCTAGTTTATATTTAAACATCAATAACACCCACTACCATTAAACTACCATTTCTAACAAAAAAAAAAAATCTAAAATATCAAAAATGCCCCTACATAAACCATAACTAATTTTTTTAAATAAAATTTTATTAAAATTCGAACCGATTAAAATTTATTTTTCTATATATTAAAATTTGAACCAGTTAAAATTAAATTGAAGCTAATTAAATTTTATTTTTTTAAAGAATTAAAATTCGAGTTTATTAAAATTTATTTTTTACATATTAAAATTTGACTCAATTTGAACTCTACCTAAGTTGTTAGTACAGATTAAAATTTATATTTTTTTATTTATTAAAATTCATGTTAATTAAAATTCGATTTATTAAAATTTGAGTCAATTAAAATTTATATTTTTTTATGTATTAAAATTTGGGCGGATTAAAATTCAATGTGAGTTGATTAAAATTTGATTTGAGTCGATTACAAATAATTTTTAATTGGTTCAAATAGGATTTTAATTAGCCCAAATTTTAATAAAAATATAATTTTTAATCGGTTCAAATTTTAATACATAAAATTAGAAAATAGAATGAGTCTCATTAAATATATGTTTATCTAAAAGGGGTGTGAATGAAGTTTGTCCTATAATATATCATGAACAATTTAATAAAATTGTATTCTAGTTAATATTTTTAATCTAATAATAGGTGGTGTCCGTGAAAATTTAAAAAATAGAGAAAGTAATATGATAAATCAGAGGAAACGTTGTTGAAATTTTTACAAAAAAATAATATTGCCCAATTGAGTTGTAGACCCAAGGTCCAATGAAAGTGGCCATGTTCACGAGCCAGAGATTGTACGGTCACCGTGGGTAATGTTTCTCTATCTCCCACTGTAAAGCCAACCTCGTAACTTTAAGACTGTACAATGTGGTAAGCACAGGTTGGGGTCAGCAATCGTCCACGCCAAAAAGCCAATCTATCCCCAATTCCCCCACCATCTTCCCAGCAAGCACCTCATACCTCAACAGCACTGGTACCCGTTTTGTCATTACAGACCAGAGCCTCAAACACCAAAACACACTCTTAACAAACACCCTTATCTTTGTTTCTCTTTCTTCAATCCAACGATGGCTTCCCTTTCTCTCCCCAAGCACACAATTCCCACTCTACTCCATACTCAAACACCCAAAGCCACCCCATCCTCGCACAACCTCTTAATTGTACCCAAATCATCTCAATCCCTGTTTTACGGTCTCAAGCTCGCTAACTCTTTCTCTGTTTCAGTCCCATCTTCTTTTCCGGTGAAGACTTCCGTTGTAGCTAAGGTACATTGCACTGCCTCCAAATTAAACATAGTATTTCAAACCTAATTTTTAGTGGGTGAATACTGATACGTTGTGTGTGTGTGTGTGCCATTTTTCTTGTAAGGTGAACAAAGGTTCAGTACCTCCATCATTTACATTGAAAGACCAAGATGGAAGGAATGTGACCCTTTCCAAGTTCAAGGGCAAGCCTGTGGTGGTCTATTTCTACCCTGCAGACGAAACCCCTGGCTGCACCAAACAGGTCCTTATCAATTTTACATGAAAAGTTTTATAGCTTTTGCATTTTTTTTTTCCTTTTTTGTACTGGAATATTCAAAGAGAATCTTCGAACAAGCATCAAGATTGCTAAAGTCACTCTCACTTCTCGTCAAATGAACAACGATAAAAAAAAAAAATTGTCTAGTTCAAACATATTGTCCCAAGACATCGCAAGTATTCTAATTTTGAAACATACAAGCGATAACCCGAGTTGGTCTACAGTTTTATCATATTCAGATATATCATATAATATCAAGCTTTCCCTCTTATTTTCTCAACCATTCTTGGATTTTGTTCATTGATTGTTCAATATATTATACTAAGTACCTCCTAGGCAGTTCATATATATTATTTATGTATATATATGTACTTGATTGGTTAGAAGGAACTAGGAAGGCTCATCTATTCAATGAACCACTACTTCTATAGAATTTGCCAAGCGTAAAGTGGACCATTGCCATGGCTATTTAGTCCTATTTGGCATGGTTTTTGTCATTTTGTGCTTGGTTATTGGTACTCACAGACACATCTGCAATGTGTTACAACTATTGCCAACTGACTAGTGATAACCATTAGATCAGACCGTTATGAATTTAGCATGAGTAGAGAAATATCTAGTCGTCCACTCATCATATGCTAACTAATTTATTATTATTTTCGCTGCAATGTATTCACAAATGATTACCATCAGATCAGGACGTTATGGATTTCAGCATGAGGAGGGGAAAATCTAATCGTCCACTCACCAATATGCTTAACCAATTTGTTATAATTTTCACAGGCATGTGCCTTTAGGGACTCATATGAAAAATTCAAGAAAGCAGGAGCAGAGGTCGTTGGAATTAGTGGTGACGAGCCGTCATCACACAAGGTAATGCAAAGAACCTTGGTGGTTGTAAAGCTTATACTTTATCCTGCTGCCAAATATAAAAAAATTGTCCTTCTAAGCATTCAAAACTTGTTGTTTAATTTATGTCTAGTTCCAAACAACCATGTTGTGTGTGTAATAATTTAAACTAAATCATATACTCCTAGTAAAAGGAATTCTTTGTCTGCTGGATATCAGCCAACTTGCTATGTGCTCCAATCCTGTTGATTAAAACCTGCTGCAATGGAGTTTTGACATAGTGTACAAGCTATGAGTTTTAAGTCAACATATATGTGTGATAATGTAGAAGAGCAGAGAGGCTCCTCTGTTATACACTTAATATTAATATAATTGCTGTTTCACATGAGAATGATTTATATTAACATTGACACCTTTAGCCAATAATCTTCTTATGACTTTGAAGCTCATCATACTTCATGGTATGCTTGAGCCTCATGAATATGACACTGTACATATACTATGACCCTGTTATCTGAACTATTATAAATGTTTTGTGTGACTCTGGTCTGAACTATTTACATAAAAGAAAAGGGAATATGAAACATCTATCAGATATGGGCGAGATTTTAACTCTGGGAAGTTCTTCCAGTTGAGTTGTTAAAAACTGGCTCGTAATCAAATCCAAACTTGCTAACAAGAATTTTATGATTGTAGGCATTTGCAAAGAAATACAGACTTCCGTTCACACTGCTGAGTGATGATGGTAACAAAGTTAGAAAAGACTGGGGCGTGCCAGCAGATCTGTTTGGCACATTGCCTGGAAGACAAACATATGTTCTTGACAAGAATGGAGTGGTTCAACTCATTTATAACAATCAGTTCCAACCTGAAAAGCATATCGATGAGACTTTGAAGCTGCTTCAAAGTCTTTGAGCCTTTCTTGATCTGGATCCTTTTTTCCATATGTTTTGACCTCTCTGTGCCCGTTAAATTTGCTCGCCCGAAGCTTATTAATCATCTGTCATATGGATTTTTGTGAATTGTATGCTCTGTAATTACAGTAGATATTCGTTGGCTTGGATAATGAGATTACTGAATTTACAGTCACATGTAATGTGACGGAATGAAACCTGCGTTGAGATGTGTGGTTACTGCTCAAACAACTCCTTGCTTAATGGAACGTTTGAAAGTTTAATTAAGGTGAGCTGATACCTAATCAGAATGCTATTAATTTCTTTAACTTTTTTTTTTGTCAGAATTTTTTCCATTATGTATACTTTTTCAGCCAAAATTTAACTTCTGAAATAATTGAATAGATATCAAATTGGAGGAGACTCATTCCCACAAGGTCCTTCAATTTCGTCTCTCGTCTTTAGTCATATGTGTCGGTGTGTTAGAGGCTTAAGGGAATTTGAGACTTAAAAGGGCGATACTAAATAAAGTGTTTTTATTTGGGTGGAGCTATTCTTAATTACCCCTCAAATTTTTTTTCTCACCTCCATTTACTTATTTTATTTCAAAATATTAAGTTGACTCCATCCATATTCACCCCCACCCTATTAGTTGCTAAGTTTAACTCATTTATATCAATTAAATTAATCTATTAAATATATGTCAAAGAAACCGAAACAAAAATAGTAATTAAAGTGAAATTTTAATGTTTCAAGGTGATCTATATTATTTTGAAGTGTTTTGAGATTTTTTAATACATTTCCACCGATATCTTTGGAATATTTAAGGTGTTTTAAAATATTTTGGAATAATTTGTCTAATATTTTAAAAATAATTATTAATCTTTATTTTGTTTCTAAAATATTTTAGTATCAAAATAATACACTAAAGCGAAATTGTTATTATTACCAATATAGTAAGTTAAAATAAAATTGAATGAATTTAATTTTTAATTAATAAATATAGATGGTGTGATTTTAGTAACTAATATGGTGAGTATAGATATGATGAACTTAGTAGTTTAAAGTAAGATGATTAAATAGGGTGGGAAAGGATATTTAAGAGGTGGAAATTAATCTCACCCTCTTTATTTTTCGTATTAATTTTTTTTTTAAATAATTTATTTTAAATTTTTTTATTAGAGAGAGAGAGAGAGAAGGAGGAGGATGTGTTGTTTTTTTTTTTTGGGTAAGTAGAAAGAGGATGTGTTTTGGTATTGACGATGTGTTACATTATTTTTAGTAGGGCTCAAAATTTTCATCAATTTAAATTTTTTATGCGGGCTAGTTATGTACTTAAAATTATGAAGTTTTCTAAAGATTTAGGGTTTAAAGCGCAAGGTTTATTATTTCTTATACTATTGAGCCAACCCTGGGGGTGCGCATTTGGGTTACATCTATATGTGGATATGTATATGTATAGGTGTGGTATGGTATGGGGTTGTGCGTGGTGTTTGTGTGTCCTTGTTTCTTGAACGGTTGGGTGTCTGCCATTTCATTGATAATCAAAAAGAGAACAGTTTGCCAATAAGATATCTCTAAAACTCTTTTGGGGATTATAAATCCAATTACAAGAAAGTAAATCTCTATTTGTTTGTATCTCTTATCTGTGCGTGCTTGTGAATGGGTTTGTAGAGAGAAGAATGAGGAGAACGTTATTTGGTAGTCTGATTAACCACCTTCAATTTATGAATAAGAGTTAATTTTGTCCAAATTGCTGTTAAGGCGATTTGGGTTTAGAGTAATTCAGTCATTTTATATAAAGGTTAAATGCAAACAAAACCCCTGTACTTTGAGTCAGTTGTATACGACTTCCTTGTAGTTTCAACTTTAGTACTAAAATCCCCTCTCTCTCTCACGGTCTCTGGTTAACACAGAATTTTGGTTTTGTAATATCCAAGGTAAAAATAAAATAAAATAATAATAAAAAAATTGGATTTGAAAAGTTTTAGACTTTTGTTTAGCTTGAAGTCTGTCTTTATAGACTTATGGATATGATTTAGAAATCAATAGAGATAATTTAGCCTTTTTTTTGTGTAAGGGAAAATATAAGATAATTATAGATGCTTAGTCAAATAGAATTGTAGAATTGTAGAATTGGTTATACACTAATTCCTTATTACTAAAAGCACTTTAGTGTTATTAAGAATAGTTGACTGCTACACTTTATATGTAATTGAACGACTATCCTAGGTTCCCTCATATTTTATTAATATTGTTTGGGTTGAAAGGAATAGAATAGGCGGTAGGAGGGAGAGCGAGAGAGAGAGAGAGAAAAGGAGGAAGAAAGAAGAACGAAAAAAAAGAAGAATAAGGGATTGGACCCATTGAAGGTTTGAATTCATTAATTATTTGATGAGTTTTGTAAATTATGCAATTACATAGTATTAGGTTTATCATAAATAGTCTGTGAAGAATAATTTAAATTCACAGACTGCAATCGCATTACTGTCTGTGTGTGTGGAAAGAATAATGTGTTTTAAATTCATAATTTATCTGTGTGTGTGTGGTGAAGAATATTGATGAACTGATAATAATCTGTGCCTGAAAGCACTTTGCAATTTAAGAAAATCCTTCAATTTCAAATAATTTTTTTTCTTCATTTGTTTTAATTAAAGAAATTGAAATCAATATAATCCTTTTTATTTTTTTAGAATTTTTTTTGCAAAACTTGTTTTGTAAATAATAACTCATAAAAATCTCAACCTGTCTACGGTCACATCAATTGCATTATTGCCCAACACAAACCATTCGATCTCTCAACACAAACCATTGTATAATTAATTTCAAGAATAAATTACTCAACCCCAACTCAAAAACAACATCAAATTTTAATCACTACATAATATAAGCTAAAATCTCATTTATATGATAATAATGAAAGTTATAGACACATTATACATGCAAGTCCAACCAAAAACTAAATCCACATAAATAAGAATCCTTTGGTTTGAACATTCTATATTTTGAAGCCTCAACCAATAATGAAATTGTAACTCTTCCAATAACTTTTATTATTGATCCATCCATGTAACCCACTATAATTTGTGGTCTTATCAATCGTTCCAAGATCCCAATCGCATTACTCACAAAGTAAAAATTCCAATATAATTCAATAACAATAAACATTAAATAAATAAATGATTGTAGTTGAATTGCTTGTAGGGATTCGATATGTATGTGTCTCGTGAGATAGAGAAGGTGCGACTGGAGAGAGAGAGGTATCTAAGTGACATCTACTGATTGAGCCATGACAGAGAAGTGATCAGTGAGAGAGAAGGAGATAAGGGGCATGAGTTGGTCTTTATCCGCAGAGGAGAAAGAGATAGAGTCTGGCTTGGGTTGGAGTGCTAGGGGTGCTGTGTGTGCAGCTAAAATGGGCGGGATTTGGGTTTTGGATGAGATAGATTATTACTCATTGAATTTAACTAGATAGATTTAGATGAGATTTGAACTGTATATTTAAACTTCAATTAAATCCTAACCACTTTTCTACTTTTCTAAATTGAGAAAATTGATTTCAATTTGGAAAGTTTGAAATCATTTCTATCTTATTAGTATAAATGACATAGAGAGAGAGTTAAATAAGAGATAGGAGTCTTACAAAAATTTTGCATGAGGACCATCGAATCAATAATCCTTAAAAGATTTGAGCTGCGAAAAGCTGAAGATAAAAAAATCTAGCTATTTTATTATATAGATATATATATATATAGAGAGAGAGAGAGAAGAGATGAGATAATGTGTTTAAAATGTCTAAAAGATAAGAGAGAGAGAGAGAGAGAGAGAGAGAGAAAGTTATATGAGAAATATGAGTATTAGAATTAAGTCCAATTATAATCGTCGGATCAATATTTATGAGATGATCTGAACCATCTTTTCTGTTGAAATTATGTTGTCTGTTGGATATGTTTATGTTTTGTTTCAAAACGATCTAGATCTCTATTTGTCTGCAAAATTCATATTCATCTCTACTTTATTATATAGATATATAAATGGGTTTTATTGAAAGTTGCTAAGTTAAGTGTTTTTAGACCTGATTTAGATTGGTTGGTCTTAAAGTTTTTAAATAATTTATTTAATGTGTTAAAAAAAAAAGTAAAGGGGAAGAAGGAAGAAAGTTACAGTAACTTTTGGTGATGGAGAAGATGAGTTTTTTAAAATTATAGAAACATCCACTTTAATTTGAAAGAATTTTACTTTGACCCCTATATTCTTTTAAACTTAATTTTAAACAATATTTTACTTCGTAAGTTGAAAAAATAGAATTTAAAAAAATTTATGGCATCCCCAAAAACAAAAAATTTGTTTTTTAAAGAAATTACACTTTGACCCCAAAAACTTCAAAGAATTTTCTTTTCTAAACAGTTCAGAATACTTTCATACTCTATTACATCGTATTAGAAAGGATATTTATATGTAAAAGATATATTAAGTATATATCAATGGGTAGGAATAATAAAAATTAAATATAAAATTACAAAACGACGAAGTTAAGAATAGGAATTGATTGTTATATGCTATTTTTGAATTCGGTGGTGATTGCATTGAGGTTGAAAAAGAGTGTTTTGAATTGGATTTTGAGAATTAAGATGAGTAATTTACTACTTCTTTTGAGAGGATTTTATATATTCAATGTGTGAGTGCGTGCATGTAAATTTTTTATATATATGATATATGTGTTAATGTTTGGGGTTGCAATTAAATATTTTGCAATTATGAACTGTTATATATGTGAATTTTGAAAAACTTGTTGGATGATTTTATATCATTGGTTTGGTGATGAAAGAGAAATTTTGTGTGCGTTAGGATTAAAATTATAGTTTTGGTGTTTGTAAAAATTATGTTTATGAGACAGGGACTGAGTTACCAGATCTAAATAGTAATGAGATTATATACTAATGTAATCGGTATAGAGATGTGCACATAGAGGTCAGTCATCGGGCTAGTGATGACAATAGACGGGGCCAGTAACTAGGCTAGTGATAACAAACATGATTTGACAAATATATTTGAAACTGAATGTGCGTGTGAGTATTTTGCGTTATAAATATTTTTTTTATTTATAAAGTTATTTGTGAAAATGAGTGAGTGTTTTAGGTTATAACTGTCTTTTCATTTATAAAGTTATTTATGATTATGAGATCCTTTTGTTTACATGATTATGTGTGAGGGATTAGGGTATAATTTATTGTACTTATGTGTGTATCAAAGTTTATTTTTGTATATAAACTATAAAATTTATTTTTACACCTCATTAGATGTGGTTGCTATTCACAGATTAGTGTGCTCATCCAAATATTTAACATTTTTCATGAGAGGATCAGAGTGAGGAGTGAGTCTGCGAATATACAAGAGATTAGAGGATTTGAAGAATTATTTTAGTGTACATATTCAAAAATAAATGTCTTTTATAGTTTCGAGACAATTGTTTAATTATTTTGAGAACAATATTATTGATGTTTAGAGTAGTGACTCTTGTAGTTTAATTATTGTTTTACATGAATTTAGTAATAATGTTTGTGATGTTTATTTTATTCCTCTGGTATTCAATATGTCGTTGATGGATCACTTTATTATTTGTTTTTCAATGTATTTTGCATTTATTATGCACAAGGTTGGTTGGTTAAGGCTTTGGTAATCGATCCGCCGCCCACCCTATGGGATCTGGGGTGGGGGTGTGACAAATTTAATGGCAAAAAATTTGGTAGAATTTCAACGGTTGAGACCCAAGACAACAAGTTCTGAAAGTAGAAAGTTTGGAGATATTTTTTACAGATATGTTTATCGTTTGACTATTTTGATATAAAATTTTGGATTTTTCTATGCATTTAAATGTATGCACTTTTCAACAATTGCAGTTTTTGTCGCATTTGCATGATCCCAAATAAATTTTTTGTCAAAGTGTTGTGGGACCTAATTGTTTATAAAATTTATAGTATACATTTATATCAGAGTGGGTGTTTTACAAACCACCAAAGGTATATGTTGGAGAGAAAGTGGAGAAGCATCATAACTTTGATTTGTGTTGGACATCATTTTTTCAGTTTAAGGACATGGATACTTAGTTAGGATATCCTTCAAATAGTGTTATATATTACATTGTGTCAAGTTGAAGTATTGTGAACAATGAAGATGGGCAAGTGGATTTCACAGGCTAAAGAGTAACAAAATTGAAAATTTTGGTTATTATTGTAAGCTTGAGAATGAAATGGGATGGAGTATCCTGTCTAGTATGTCTGAGAATGGAATGGAATGGGCGTATCCTGTCCAGGGGCAGATTTAGTATGGGAAATTTTAAAAAAAATTGGGACCTAAATATAATTTTAAAAATTTCAAGAATTTTTTAAACTTGCTCCCACTAAAACTTTCTTAAAATATAGGATATATTAATATAATTTTCAAAACCTTAAAAGTCAATTTTGGCAACTCCAGCTCCTCATTTTTCATCGCCTGTGTTTTTTTTTTCTCCCGTAAGTCATGTTCGTCATTTTCGTAGTCGGTCCAACTTCCGATCCAGCCCTGTTCTTTCTTTTATTTAAGTTTTTTTGTTACTTTTTTTAGTGTATTCATCAACTAATCAATTAAGGAGAGGTAAATTAACCAACAAATCAGCCCCTTTTCTTTGTTAGTTCCTTTAGTGAATTCTATCGTTGTCCAAATCAAATTTGAAGAAACCCTAGAAGATTATGTTGAAACCAAGAAGAGAGGTAATCTATTAACCAAATTTTTTGATAGTAGTATTAGCACTAATTTAAAATTAAATTTTTATATTAAAAAATTAGTCTAGTTTCTGTAGAATTGATGGTTGTTTGGTGTATTATTTATGAACTTATGTAAGTTTTCTTTGTTTCGTTTTGGTTCACCATTTAACTATTTTCGATTTTTTTTTTAAGTCCCATGTTCAGATTGACTATATGAGATTTTTGGTTAGTGCTATATTTTTTCTGATTAAATTGTTTTAATTTATTTCTTGAAATTCAAGTTTGGATTATATTTTAGATTTATAGATCATATTTTAATCATATGTAGTCCATTATTGGATGTTCGAGAGTTGTGAGCTTTTTTTGTATAGGATTTCGAACACTAAAAGATACTTTTGATGTAAAACCTTTTTGTTGTCTTTTTTTGTACATCACTCACATATATGAGTTGTGCCTCTAAATGACATCATTTTGACATAACTATGCTTATAAATAATTTATCAAGAATACATATTTTGATGAAAATAATGTTACAATTATACTTTAAAATTTAAGAATTTAGGTTAGTGAAAAACCCTGTCTCCGCCCCGCCCCGCCCCTGATCTTGTCCAGTGCTTAGTATCTCTAAATCAATAAAATGTGATAGGGAATTCGTAATTTTCAAAAACTTCATATCATTATACATTCATATATTTATGCTCTACGTGTAACAAAGGACCAGACCAAACCGGACCAGACCAGACCAGAGAAGCGGGATATGCGTAGCGCAAGGATTTTATTCTGGGACCCACTTATGTTTGTACTTGACAGCTGTAATCCATTTTGAGTTTAAGTTGAGGTGCTATCTCTCGATTGGTTGCCCGTAAACCGCACAGTCTACGGGTAAACCTTAATCTCCATTAAGAATAACGTTACTCGAACATCGAGTACATTGGAAGATCTAATGTACTGTAATGAATAAATTGATAATGAACTTTTTATTGTTGGAATTTATTTCTAATTTAATAGTCACAGTGTATCTAATTTTAGGAGTACAAAATAACGTGACAGTTGACTTGAATTTTTTTTATTTGGTGTCATGTCATTTGAGCCCCAATAAAAATTTAAAATAATATGCTGTCATGTCATTTGCGCTCTTAATTTGATTCCTAAATTTAGTCAGCATAAAATTACTGAAAAGATAATGTGTTTTTGGCTAAACTATATAAAGGTAAAAATCACTCGAATATCTTTAATTTATGGATAAACGGCGGTTAATGCTATGAGTAATGAATATTAAGTAAAATATCAAAAATTATGCAAAGTCGGGGAACTCTGTACACATTATTGTATTGTATTATAACGTTCTGAACAAAGTACAATGCAGGGCTAAACTTATAACATTGATGAGTACAACTCTTGGTGGCTCTTTTACATTACATATCTCTCATTTATTATGTATGCACTACAACTCTTAGGTGCTCTTTTACTTCACAAATTAAAAAAAAAACACTATATAACTTAAATTTGTAATTCAAATCTATATCACAAATAAAGGGAAACGAGACGAGTGAGTCCCATCAACTTGACCCACTAATTCAATTATCCCTTTTAATTAAGATGTAAATTTGAATTATAGATTTGGATTACGTAACATTACTTTAAATTAAATATGCATCGACCTTATTAGTATACAGATAATATTTGTAATTTCACAGCTTCTCAATCTCTTCATAATCTTCACTGTTGTAAGGGCTGAACGCTTCGGCAAACNGGTTTTAGGGAAATTTCTGCCTCCTTACATCCTAAATACTGGTTAAGGGGAAAATAGCCATGGGAAAGAACGAATCAATTTCCGAACTATGGTTATTTCTCAATTGAGTTACCTTTTCAATGTAGTCTTTAATTTTATATATTACAATTTTCTTTAAAAAAAAAACCCTCTCTTGAAAACATTTTTTAATGTAACATTATCTTCTTCTGCCATGTTGACTTGAATTGGTTTGATAACCCTTTTCCATTTAAAAACTTGAGCTCAACCATGTTTTTAAGGTTTCTATTTAAAACTTACTTTACAAACATGCTTTTACATTTAAAAGTATTGTTTAAATTTACACTATAATAAAGATGACATGAAGTTATACTATAATAAAGATGGCATGATGTTGTAAAACCATGATATATTTGATTTAAAAAGTAGGAAAAGAACTTTATTTTGTGTGTGTGTGTGTGGAAGGTGTTGAATTATGTGTTTGGGTATCCCGAAATGTAAAGTAAGTTTCCTCCCGAAGTTCAAAGTGTAAGATGAACTATTAATGAAGACTATAATTCGCTCAATTCAGAAAAAGTTGAAAACTTAGGCAGTCTACAAGTCAAAGCATCAGAAATTAATTCTCTGTTTGACATTCTGACCAGGAAATGTCTTCATTTCTACAAACCATCCCTGCAGTGACTATCAACAACTCTCAGGAAACCAAATTAATCCATGCAACTTCCACGCAGAAACATAAAGCCATGCAAATTCCACAAAAGGTGGGAAAAAACACACCCCCTACAAATAAGCACTATACTTCGAGTCCAATTAATACATCCTTCTCAGTGAAAAGATTGTCAAATTCACTTGCCAGTAAGCTGTTATTTGCCCATTTCTTTAGAGAATATAACAAGAATTTCACCAAGAACAGCACATAGAACCATTTAACTTAATCGGAAAATCACATATAATCGCCCAACATCTCTATTTTGGACCAACACTAGTTTTGTTTTTCTGCGAGAAGATTATGAAAGCCGGATATTGGCTTATTTTCATGCACTTTACCATAGAAAATTCTCCCACTAATTAAAGCTATTTAAGTCTCACCACGTGGTCCAAAGACATTAAGAAACATCCCTTGACAGCTCAGTGATATCAGTCATAAGTAGCTATGCATAAACAATAGACCCTAGCAAAAGAATAGTCTGTGGGGGATTTGTGATGCCACTCCTATATGATACCACTGATAATTAAGAAGAAGAAAAAACAAGAAAGCCAACATCATCTTTGTGATTATTTATGAACCAAAAGTGTATATACTTCAAATCATTAAATAATCTCTTTCAATAGACAAAAACACGAAAACAATACATATAAACACCCTATGAAATCTACATACGTGTATGATATAACTGTTACCTTGGTTCGCTTCAGCGCATTCGAGAGCTAAATCTATAGCTGATTTCTTGTAGCCAATTACTACGACCTTCTTTCCTTGAAACAGTTGTGTACTGGCTTCCTTGTTGAGTTTGCAGTAGTCAAGAGTATGCAAGACTTGTCCTTGGAACACTTCCGGACCTTTGTTGTTGGGGAAAGTAGGTATTATTGGCACATCACCATATTTCCCAGTGCAAATCACAAGAAACTCAAAGGCATACCACTGAAATGAAATACTCAGAAAAATCAGGATAAACAACCTCACCAAGATCATACTAACCTAGGAAGTAAAAACAAATAAACCAAATGATTGCTTCTGTAGACACATCAATTTATAGGTTCAAAACATTGTACTACATGCACCTATAATTAATCCTGCATACAAATCATTAGGTGAATTTCTAACACAAGTTCCACTCCAGTTCTCTAAAGCCTTTTTCACCTGTTGATTAATTAGATTAGCAAATTAAATAGATTCAACCCAAAAACTGGCCTAGCAGATATACAACAAATTAATAAAGAACCAAACTAATGTCACCCTATTGCACAACTTTAAAAAAATACGATAAAGAACAATCTCACACACTAATAATGGGTAATAGGAAGTGTTTTTTAGGTATTGGAAGGCAGATTTTAGAATAAGAACAACCTGAATGGTTTCTGATGGGTTGGTCTGGACGGCAACCTCCCACACGGGCTTGCCAGACAAAACTCTACCATATTCACCCAGTTTACCACCAATATCGGTGGTTTCGGGGTCACCCGTAAAACGAATTTCTACCACCTTAGAGTTGAACATCACAAACTTCAACACATCAAAGTGTACGGCATAAGAGTATAGATAATCCAAAATCTCAGCATAAGATGGGAAAGTTGTATTATCTCTTTGTGTCCAGGGGAAATCTGAGAACTCATAATCACAACGAGGGGTCTGAAGTTTTGTAGACCTGTAAGAACAGTGTTTCCAGACACCTCCTAGGGAATCAGTGGCCTCAAACACCACTGGATTGTGTTTGGATAGCTGTTTAGCAGCAGCTACACCGCTTATGCCAGCTCCAATAATGCCAATTTTGGAAAAGACAGCCATTAGGTGTGCTATATGGAAAATTGATAGGTTTGGTGAGTGTTGAGAGCTTAACTTTGAGAGATGCCTTGGAACGTAATGGCTCTAGGTATTTATAGGAGTGCATGGCAAATGAGAACAAGTGGGTCATGTTAGGAGCACGTGAATGGACTTGGAGGGCCTTATGAACAAGAGAGAGAAAGAGAGAGAGAGAGAGAGAGAGAGAGAGAGAGAGAGAGAGCGGACTCGATCAACACTGAAGGGGGAGGGATCTGACCATTTTTTGAAATTTTTTTTGCAGATTATGATAATGTTCACTCTGTAAAGTTCGTTAGATATAGTGTGGAAATTTCATTCAATCCGCGGTTTCGTTTGCTTGTAAAAGGTTTTTTTCTGAATTTCTTTGTATCTTCAAGACCTCGTCTTTTCACTTTTTTTTTTAATTTTTGTGTGTGTGTGTGTATGTCTGTGTCTGCACAGCAGCCCTCTTACACCTGTAGATATTGCTCATAATAACACTATTTTCGTAATAATAAGGTCAAGTATAATTTAATAACATTGTTATGCTCTATGATTTATTGTTATTTGATTGAGTCAACAACCAACTAGATATAAAAGAATTATATCATTGTTGTTGGTAAGTCCTCTAAGCCAAATGATTTTTTATTTTTTTAGCTTTTACACTGGAGAAATATTTTTTTTTGTTCGGGCATTATTCTCATAAGCCGGGCCAGGATTTCTTTTATAATAAGGACAATCTAAAAAATTGATACGTGACTGATTCAACAGTCACTTTGTTTAGTTTGCTAGGTGTCGAAATTTGCACCGATAACTCTCTCGAATTCAGCGGCTTCTTTTGTTATTTGAGATAGATTAAAATATGTCTACAAAAAATAAAGGTAATTGATCCTTAGAAAATGTTAGAAGAAATTGAACCTATAACATTTGAATTAACAAGGATCTGACTCAACCACTGAATCACCTCTAACCATTTGTCTTGATTTGTTCACAAAAGACTTATGAGACCCATAAATACTCGCAACAAATAGAACACATCTAACAGATATAATTTAGAAAAGAGTTCATGCTACAGCAAGTCCATTGAACGGTGAGCACAAATAGGAATAATTACATTTATCACAGCAAATTTTTTAAGTCATATCACTCCAACAACTTAATCCGAAATATAATCCATAATAAGCAAATTATAAGCATAAAAACCCAATGAAATATTGAAAAAATTAATTAAAACAATCTGGAAAATACAATCTATCAAAAACAGGCAAACAATTGAATTTCAAGCAATCGATTAATACTATTTTATCCCTCACAATCGAATTTTGAAATTGAATTTCAAATGAAATCAATCAAAACTGTAAAATATGAATTCTTATGTTTCAATTGTAATTTTGTAAGTTGAAAGTTCAAACTCTAATTTCAGGTTTTTTTTTTTTTTTTTTTTTTTTGGGGGGGGGGGGGGGGGGGGGGG